CCAGCAGAGCCTCTCTCTCTGTAGGAAAAAAAAATTGCCTAGAGCCAAAACTAAATTCTGCATCCTGGCAACTTTCAGCTCACAGGTCAGCAGAGTACAAACCAAGTGGAGAAGGGTGGGTAACAATTTGTCTGAGTAAATGACCAAGCAGTACAGGACTCCAAAAGCCTATTTAGAAAACAACACTTCTGCATTTCTATAATCCAGCAGTAAATAACAGGAACCAGAAGGACTGCTGGTGAGCTTTGGCAGGTTTCTGCTGGTGATGGTTGGGGTTTTTTTTTAAATAGCTCATTGATTTTGGATTGCATCCATCTCCAGCATTGTGGCTACACTTCATGTAGTAATTTACTTCAAACCAGAGTGCACATCTACAGCCAAGTCTTTGTTTTGTAAATGTCACTGCACTTCAGCACCATTAACCAGACACCCCTATTTCAAGCTGATATTCTGAAATTCAGTAAAAATAACTATCAGCAACAATGCAACAGAGCCAAATGAAAATGGAAAATGTTTTTGACTCCACACAGTGCAGTGTAGTATATTATTCCTTTCTGGGAGAGTTTGGATCAGTTGATTAATGGGCCCACTGGTGTTATCCATCCCAAGATCCCCTGACACCATCCAGTCATCCCCATTCCCCATGGAGGCTTTCAGAGGAAAACCTTTGTGCCTAAGGACCTTGTGGATAAAGTAGGCATAAACTTCCAGGCATTTTACTGACAACCAGAAGTTCTGTACTCCATGCCTGCTACAAGAAGCTTGCCTTTCCATCATTCATGTCCTTCCCAAGTTGCCTGCTTGGATTAGATGGTGATGGTAACAGGGCAAACCAATGTGCATGCATTGCAATGTCAGGGCAACTGCAGCTATTAGAAAGTGCAGCAAGGTGTTTTTCCAACCAGCATCTTCCCATTCCATAGGAAGCAGAAGGTGAGCACAGGTTTGCCAAACCCTGTGGGTTAGGAGTGAGAAGAACAGAGCTCCAAAACTCATCTTCCCTCCTGTAGCTGGGAGAACACTGGAACTGGTCCTAGCACCCAACCCTCAAGGTCAAATGAATGTTATTTTAGAAAAGCATGACAAATTAGTGCTTTATGACCAACAAGCTTCGTTCATTGAAGTTTTCTCTTCAGAGGCTAAGTGAACAATTCCTGTTGCCTGCTGTAATAACAAGTGCAGAGAACAGTAACTTCTTTAAACTGCTGAGCTCGATGTTTTTCACCGTTATCTCTGATAGCTGCTAATTTGGTGACTGAAAAGTGATGTAGCTTTAAAAGTATCTTGTTCTGCCTCTCTGCAGAGACCACAGGCAGAACGAATAAATTAGCAGTGTTTGGGTTCTCATTACCTCAAATTAGCCTCAGCAGATGATGACAGGAGCAGAGCCAAGCTGTCTGTGGGTCCTTACCTTGCACCTGTTAGCACTCCATGAAGGACACAGAAAAGGGAGACCAGGTTCTCTCTGCTGCCTGACCACAACAAAGCTTTCCTGTCAGATTACTGATACCTCTTCTGACAGCACCTTTCAGCCTGCACACCCACATCACTCCTAATCCACTAACAATGAAGCAGTTGCCATACTTGGAAGCGTCCCCAAGGAGTGAAGGGACTGCATGAGGAAATTGGGGCAAGGATGGAAGACTCTGCCAAATAACAGGTATCATCACCCCAGAGCCAACCATCTAAAACAATGCATTTGTTTACATGCAAGCCTAAAAGAAAACAGTAAGTTCAAAAGAGAATCTTCATGTTATCACAGGGGAAAGTGAGACACAAAATGAATGTGTTCTGTTTCATCATTCATTTAAATAGTTCTGCTGGGCATTTCAGGCTGCAGCCAAAGGAGCAAAGCCAGGCACATCTTTGGATTGGACATAGTGACCTGTTCCAAAATGCAGTTACAATAAAGCCAGCTGTGAAGAGGCAGAGAGAGACTGACAGGGAGGATCATCACAACAGGCACATCCTCCTCCCTTACACTGCTCCTGTTACAGCCTGGATCCCTTACTCATCTCATGCACTCCTCTTGTCTGTGATTGCATTTGGAGCACCTGGAGAGGGACTAAAGCCATGGTTATGACCTTGAGGCTCAACCACGGAGCAGAAGATGAGGAGAAAGCGAAGGCACCAGCTTTCCATGAGACCCTCCCGCAGGGCCCTGCTTGCACTCAGCGTGGCAGACCCCCAGGTTTTGTGCTGCTGTAAGATTTTACAGCAGCTGATTCTGATGCTGCACCTCCCAAGCAGCCAGCTGACCCTTCCATTCCTGCCTCTGGCCCTTCCTCCCGTCCTCTTTCTCATGGGGAGGGCATTTTTGAGCCTGCAACTGGTGCCAGTGGGGCTCTTCCTACTCAGACCAGTGCTATCAGCAGCTGAGACACAGGCAAAACACATCCATGCAGGAGCTTGGTTTATTAAAGTGTTTGAACAAAAATCACTTGCTAATACTGAAAACTTTAAGGGGAAGAACAGTGGGACTGAACCTTGGTGCTAAAGCTCTCCATATATAAGGACTGGGCACTAGCCCAAATACTACAAGCCTGCCCACAGCTGTGATATATTTAATCTGGTCTTACAGATTAATTATTTTGCACAACCAAATCCAGCACCTGTGAAAACTGTCTTATTTCAGCTGTGGGAAAAGCTACTTAAATAACATTTTCACTTTCAAGAAGACAACCCAAAACAGTATCTCTTCAAGTCCAAAATATCCACAGCCAGGTGCAGTGCCAAGGCAGTGTAGAGGGGATATTTAACCAAATTCATATCAAAACTCCTACTCACATGAGGAAGCTCCTTATTATTAATACTTGTGGCACTTAAATGTCCCCAGAACTGCCTTTTGACTTCTTTGAAAGAATATAAGGTATAACTTAAAAAAAATAAAACAAAACCCCAACATTCTCTTTGGATGTCTCTTTCCTTACAAAAAATTTGTCTTTTTTTCCCAGTGAAATTTAACTCCCACCACTATGTTCTCAGAGATGGACTACTGCAAATCCTTTTCTTACACCACAGTAATCTTGAAAGTTATTTCATCAGTTTTGGTGTAATATTAACAATATTGTCTGCCTGAAGTGCATAAAAAGCAGCTAAAATTTCCTTTCCTCAGAAGCAGGCAGCAAGGCTAACTACTGCTTTGCTTTGACTAAACCAACAGTACTAGAAGTGTATATATATAAAAGCAAATTGTGCATGAAAATTGTACAAGTAAACACCACTCCGTACAAATGAATAAAGTCCTATTTTTCAGTAAGTCTGAGTCAGTTCTCACTGCTGCAAGAAACATGAGATCTAAAAGGCATCTGAAAGCTTCTAAAATCAGGGTTTAATTTGCTCCGACTGTAAAATGTGCTGTTGGCACACTCACTTTATCATTCAAAATAGCAACAAGTGAAAACAGACCAAAAGGACAGAGCTAATTCAAGGCAAAGATCTTCTTTCTCAGTAAATGTCTCGAACAGCACCACTTTTAGCAACAGAATGTTTACCCAGCACAAGATAAAGGGAGAGGCTTTTCACTGACACCTGGGACAAAACCAAAGAACAAAAGCAGCTCCCAATGCAAGCCAGCAAAGTTACATTTTTCAAGTGTTCCCACCTAATGCAGACAGAAGGCCAGCCACAGCAAGTCACAACAAACAACCTATTTACCCACTCCCAGAAAATGCTTGTAAATTTAAACTGTGTGAAATGTCTAACTGCCCCTTTCATTCCATCAAAAGGCTTCATCAGCAATGGACAATAAAGCCTCTGGCTTGACCTAAAGGGGCTGGTAGGTTAATCTATTCTGACCTTACCTTTATTCAGTCATAATACTGAAAGATTGCTTGAATGAATAACCAGCATTTAACAATGCCAACAGCCACCCTTTCACTACAGTGCTCCTCTGAAGAGCCCTCCAAGCCAATTCTTTAATGAAAGGGGATATCAAACATTTTCAAAAATTAATTGTAAAATAAACCAAAATACCATTTCTCACTCATGGGTAAAAAGGAAATACATAAAAAAAAAAAGCAGAAGAAGAAAATTTCTCTTGCCCCTTCATGTCTCTTTCAGACTTCCACCATCACTTATTGTCAATTTTAGATAATATGCTGTCTCTTATTAACTGTCACTCACATCTTTTATTTATAGCATTTTCACTCAGATGGGAGAAACCAGACATTAAAAGGTACTACTGATAAAAGCTAACTTCTAACAATAGGCTTAATCATTTAGGCCTCAACACTTGGTATTTTAATAACTTCTAGCTTCATTTCAAAAGCCATTCCATGAGGGTGCTCAGCACTGAACATGGAAAAGCAGAGTTAAAATTAAGCACATAATTAGACCCACAGAGGTCAATAAGCTGGATTCATCACTCATTGACTGATTTAATCACTCAACCCTCATAAGTTTCAAGTTCACAGCCTATATTTAAATGCCCTTCTAGAGAAAAGCCTCCAGTACTCAACACTACAGTGCACAGTTCTACCCAAGAATTTTCCTCCCTGTGACAATACAATAACCACCTGTATGAAGGAACTCAATAGTTTGATATGTGCCTTTTAGAGCAAGGTTTTGCATTTTGTCGTGAAGCAAGAGCTGTATTCTCATTTGACATAGCAATTAGAGTGCTTATTTTTCACCATCAACAAACCAATTCATCTTCATTTAATGTTCTATACCCAAAAAATGGTTTGGGAGAATATCAAAAAGCATGACCAGCAGGCATTGAAAAGATACTTGAAAATGCCTTTAAAATTCCACACTAATCCCAGAAACAAGATCTCAACTTAAATCTATTCCTAATTAGATTTAGGAGGATGCTTAACATACCAGTCAAGATTAAGTGCCATCACCTTTATCCAAAAGCACAATCATCAAAGAACTGGGAAGAAGCAAACCACAAGGCAGTGACAAGAGCATGCAGTGCAAGAGGAATGAAAAATAAAGATAAGAGCTTTCCTTTGGATTGCAGAGGATACTGTCATAAATTAATCAAAGTTTCCTACCTTGAAAAGCTGTGATGTGACCAACTATCATGTACTTCAGCTCAAAGTTCAGTGCCTGGATGCTCTGAGTCCTCTCCCTTCGGACAGCTGCCTGGTAGCTTTCTTCCATTTTTTTGGTGCAACATGTTGGTGCCCTGTGTTGACAGATCTGTAAATCTGACTCTTAAAGCAAACAAGAAAAACACAAAAATTAGAAAACCCTTGAACTTACGCCATAAAAGCAATGCATCCTAACATCAGAAACACCACATTTTAAAATATGAAACAAGACAAAACCCACAAGAAATGACAATGTGAAACTCAGCTGCTGTCAGAAGGACACAAAGTTGGGATTATTTCATTTGAGTAACATGAGATTATCAGCTGATAAACTATTTTACACTGTTAAGAACACTGGGCACAAAAGTTACCTGAACACAGTCAGGGGCACAACAGTATCACTGTCATGAAGCTCCACCATCAAAAGGGCAGTATTTCCACTGAACACCTTTTACTAAATGTACCAAAACTTGAACGTGTGAATGATAACCATGCCTCAAATTAGGATCCAATACTCACCACCCATGTTGTGCCTCAAGGAATCACCCATTCACCTCTTACACTCTTAAAAAATCTCTGAGCTCCTAGGAGCTCACCAAAAAATAAAATAAAATCTAAAGCACTGCGATCACTCTCACCTTGCAACTAGAGAAAAAGTTGAAAGCTGATTAAAAACTTCATTCTTGTAGAATGTTTTTATTTTTTCTTAAATCATTCCATATTTGTATGTGTTTCAGGAAGTTTAATATCCTTGGTAAGGAAACTTAAAGCTACATCACAGAGTTGTGATGGACACACTCAGGGTCTGTTCGTTCTATACCACAGGATTTGCAGGTGCCAGAAAGGATCTGGTACAGACTGCAGATGAGTATTTTCTGATGCTCCACAGGTACATGTTTTTAGAAGAGGAGGGAAAAAAAGCAAGAGGCTGTTAAGCAAGCAAATCCAAAGCCAGGGGTGTACATAAATAGCAGAGCCCAAAAAGTCACACAGTATTTAGTGTGACAGTGTGTCAGGGGCTTCCCTCCCTTCGCCTCAAGGCAGCTGGTCCTGAGACCAAACTCACAGGGAGGAGCTTCCATAAATCTCCCCTCACCAGGGCAAAAATTAAAAACATTGAGTTAGCTGAAACATCTCATTTAACTAGAAAATGTTGCTTCCAGTTTATAGCCGCTCTTATTTGAAAGTGAAGCTAATTCATGTCAAGAAAGTCAAAACCAAAGTAAAATATTTCAATTTACTACATTTGTATATAAGTTTGCAAACAGATGACATTGTCACAGACTGAACTGAATCAGGATACCAGTTTGGAGGTGCATTTGTTTCACACTTCAATCTAATCTCAAAAATGGGAAACAACAACTCTCCCCACTGCAGTGTGTTATAAATCTATATTGTGATATTGGCTTTCGCAAGTATTAAGATGAATGCTATATATTATATGCTTTTGCTATGTCTTTTTCTCTTGCTAGCAAGTCTTAGGCACAGGTCAAGAAGAATTTTGGATTTTGGGGCAATGTCCTGTCTGTGCAAAGCAAGATAACCTCCAGGAAACAAATGATGGGGCCCAGGCTGCTGTCAACACTGACCGGCTGCAGAAGGAACCCCAGCCCAAATGAAAATGTGATAAAGGGAAATAAAATCTTTAAGATGCATGCTCTAATAAGGCAGATTCAGGGTGTAGCCATGCAAAATGCTTCTTGGAAAAGTATGAATGTGCTTTAAAACCCCACAGCAGAATGGGATAAAAGGAGTGTTCCAAAGATATCAGGTGTGCTCCTGGCAGCACACCAGGGCACCCGGCTGATTTAACCCTTTGCTTCATTATCTTTGTCTCCTAATTGTCTTTTTGTTTATATTAAACCTTTTATAATTTATTGAGTGAACCTCGTTTTTCACAAGTGTGAGCCCCAAACCCTGCTGGAGGCCCTGGCAGAAGCAGCAGCGGGAGGGCTGCACGCTCCTCACCTCATCTGCGCCCAGCCGCCAGAGAAGCTGTCCCAGGTTGAAATTAGCTTCTTGGACAGGCTAATTTGAACTTGGAGGGGTTCCCTGATCCAGCTCAGGCCCTGAACACATCTGTGCTGTCACAAGGAGCTGGGGGTCAGGGAAGGAGCACTTCTCTGAGCTGGCACACCGAAGCACACTGAAATTGCGATACAGGCCGCGGAGCAACGCGGCCATCCCCAAACAGGGGTCCGGGCACAGGGGCTCCGAGTGCTGCTCGGCCCCTGCAGTGCCGAGATGCTGACACCCAAAGCATTTCTCCTCACAGCACCCCTCTGCAGGCTTGTTCCATGGAGCTTTGCAAAGCTCAGGCCTGTATCGAGAAAGGTTTGAAATGGCAGGAGCTTTGTGCTGACTGTGCTGTCCCCAGCATTCCCCCCTGAACCCAGGCACACGGGAACCTGCCTCTCCTCCAGAAGCTTTAAGGATACGGATATCTCAGCTGGAACTGCTCTCCTGGGATTCCCCAGCCAGCTATCTCCCCACCATGAACGCTCCAGGAGCCTGAAGACTGGGATTTGTTGGTCCAGAGCCAAAATGTCACAGAAGGCACTCTTAAATAGAAACAGCGCTCTTAAATAGAAACAGCACTAAGCCCCTGACAGTTCAGGAGCCTGATGTAAAACACAGAGCATTGAAAGGCCAGCAGAGCAAGCCCTGCTCTCCTCACAGCACTGTCAGGTCAGTGCTGTCATACACACAGCCTGGCAATCTCATTTGCTCCAGTATTAGCCTCAGGGTATCGCTTTTAACACAATTATAGAAACCTAATAAAAGGTTTCACTGCTATACATGCCTGGGTGCCGAGATTAAATTAGAACTCATTAGTAATATCTTAATGTCTCTAATAACTCTGATACTAAATTTAGTTTCTCTCATCTCTTTCATCTTGATGAAAAATACCCTCTCCAACGGGACGAGGGGAGGAGCAGTGACAGAGGGGTGGCCGAGGGGCTGGGCTGAGCCCCCCAGAGCCAGGGTACCCCATTAGCCCTGCTCAGAGTTTGCTGCCACAGGACAGACACAGCCTTAGGCGCAAACTCCTCCCTTTCTTTAAAGAACAAATCCATTCAATACACCAGAGAGAAAGCACCTTCCTGAAATACACAAGTTACCAACATCATCATTTCAGGATTTCACCATGCTAATCTCCCTCTCGGACTTGCTTCCCAGCTTTCCCCAAGGTGCCTCTCATTTCCTGATCAGTAATTTGGGAGAAGCCTCTACCTCAACCTCCTCCTAAAGCAGATCTAACTACGTAAGAGCTTCATCCAGTCAAGTTTCAAGCATCTACAAAGATGGACAATACCACAGCCTCTCAGAACCCGTTTCAGTATTTGACTACATTCATAGTAAAATAAGTAAATTTAAAATTTCTATCTAATTCCCCATGTTCCAACTCACATCTGTGGTTTTTCAGCATACAGCCATGTACCTACAAGAAACTGACTCCACTTTCTCTATTTTCTCCCAAAAGGGAGATGAAGACAGCAGTATGGCCTCCTTTAATCTTATTCTTCCTACAGCTGAACAAACCCAGCTCTCTATTCCCGTGTGTTCCAGCCCCTGACCGTGATGGGAGCCCTCTGCTAGACTCTATGTCACATATGCAAAGCACCTGCATCCACAGCACCCCTCTATTTCATTTTCTTATGCATTAACTTACTGACAGAGCAGAACATTTTCAACTCTACATGCCTGGGCTTCAATTCCAAAAGGTTTATAGCTTTCCTAAAACAAATTAATTTTCTGCTTCAGATCAGACGTAAGGATTACTCCACTGATTATGTACATTATTTTTCCACTCAAGCCTTTTCCCCTTGAGTACCGGTTAAAACCGTGGCCTGGCTTACTTGTTAAAGTGAGAAAAACTACAGACTTTAAACCCTTCCTGTTATTATAAAAAACAGGATAAAGTATCTTGCTCCACTTTGGAAAACAGTCACATTCAGAAGTGCTGGAAAAAAAGCACCCAAAGCACATGTGTTTTGGAATGCATCAATGATCCCTGTGGAAAACTACTGTGCAACCCCAAAGCAATTAATACATGCCAAAGGCATCACCTTCAGACACTTCCGTGTCATAATTATAAATTACTTTAGGTGCTAAATGGACAGAAAACTGTGTATCCCTACCTGACATCCATCTGGCCAGCTCTATCCAAATCAGCTGAGGAGTATTTTGTTGTATGTGGAAAAGTTTTTGTTTTGAATCAAAAAGTTTGGGACTTCATTTTGAGCTTTGGTACAAACAGAATCTAAGACTTTGGCCATTAAAACTAGCTGAATCAGTATAATTTCCCAAAAGCAGAGAGGCCTGTTTAGCAAACAAAATTAACTTCTTCTAAAAACTGAATATACATTAATTTTGTTAGCTGACCATGCAGTTTAACAGTTCTGTCTTTAAAATGCTGTACACACTGTAAAAGCCATACTCTGAAACCAGAAAGCCAAACTTTATTCACTTTAACTGAATTACCTGCACCAACTTTTTCAAAGACAGGCTTTTTCAAACAAGCTGAACCTCTAATTTCCACTGCACAGAAGAGTTCTGAGCAAGGCATGATCAGAGGGTGAGCTCAGTGCAATCTGTCTTTTGACAGTTTTTGCCTTTGTATTTTGACAAACATTTCAACAGTATTTCCAAACAAAGCTTTAGTCCAAAGCCCAAGATTTTAATGTTGTACAAATATCTTCAAAGACTCCAAGAGTGATTATGCCTTAGTAACACAGAGAAAGGTGCCAAAAGTATCTTGCATTGTGTCTGGCCCAGCTGAGCAGGAGCCAACACTTCATCCGTCTTGAGACTCATCTGTCTGGTATAGCTGCTGCCTCAGCTTGAGGAAAATTCAGCAATTAAGCACAAACTAATGCAGGGGAAGAGGCTAAATAAAATGAAAAAGGAACTATTCCCAACCAGGGCTCTCCTGGCTTACTTGGGGTATGAGCAGAGCCCACACCAGCACATCAAGGAAAGGGAATCCAGCCACTGCAGGCTGCCCCAAGTTTGAGAGGTTCTTTTTTCATGTAGCTCTTGTGCCCCAACAGTGCTAAAACCATCACCACCTTCACCTGCAAGACTGCTGTCAGGAAACTCATCCCCTGGCCATCCTCACC